CAGTTTTGTGATTTTTGGCCAAACCATTCAGAAGTTATAAGCAAAAATAGCCATTTTTCATATCTCCTGACCACTAAGTGGCACTGCGCCGAAACACTACTGGTAGCCTCATGTCATGCTTAAAGGGGTGGTTGACTGTTTTTTTTTATAGGCTTGATTGTGTTTATGGGGGGGAGTCTAACATGTGTTAATGCTTAGTTTGTTAAAAAACGCATTATTTTTCACATAATTTACCTTTATTCCACACCTCTCTGTCCCTTCTCCTCTGAACGCACTTTAAACCGCGCTCAAATTGATTTGATTTTGACGCAATATTTACACTGAAGCTCGCAGGCGGCTATGGTAAGGGGCGTGACATTTCCCGACCAGGCGCTGAGTGGTGCCAATCACAACACACACTGGCCCAGCTAACCAATCACAACACATTTCGTATTTCAGAAGGCGGGCCTTCATTTGATACAGGAACTATTTGAGCCGTTCATGCCAGACTGGGGAGAGAGGTGTTGTAATAATGTAAAATATGTGAAAAATAATGTGTTTTTCGAACAACCTAGTATGAGAGCCTGTTCTAGTACACCCCCAAAACAAAATAAAGACATTAAAGAGCATAATAGGACCCCTTTAAGAGGGCGCACCCCCCGCCCCACCATTATATTTTTAATTTTCTCTATAGCGCCAGATTACAACAGAAGTCATTTAAAGTTACCTATCCTATAGAACAGGTCTATACCTTGTTCTTTAATAGACATGTTTGATTAATAAAATTAAATTTAACCATTAAAAAGGAGTCCAGAAAAATTAAAATGGAAAAAAACAGAACCCCACCCCCCCCAAAGCGGTAAACCTAGGGGAAACACTGGCCTCACATCCATTTTTGCATGCTTTTCATAGAATACATTTATGTGTTATTCGAGAACGTTTGGACGAATCAACTTGAATTCCATAACTTTTTGCCAGCATGGTCCGAAGATGATCTGAGCCAATTTTGGTGAAAATCAGACAAACCGCATAGGACGAGTCCAAAAAAGTATGTTTTTCGAATTATTAAATATAGCGAAAAAACTAATCCTTACGATTTTTGAATTTTCCATTGTTGGTGTCCATTCGACTCGGCATGAGCCAAGGAATCAGAGGAAAAAAAATTTTCCTTCTGTGCCTTATGGTTCAAAAGTTATTAGCATAAATGAGTGAAAGTTTGAACAAGTGGTGGCGCTAGAGAGTTTGAGATAGACTCCAAACTTGCTATGGTTAATGTTGGGACTGTCTTCTATCAGTGTGCCAAATTTCACAACTTTCCCACAAGTGGTTCTATGGGCTGCCATAGACTCGAGCGGAAGAAGAAATGGAAGAAGAAGAAGAAAAATGCATTTATATTGTGTTAAAGCCAAATTAAATCATTGAAATATTGTCAAAATATTATTTGTAATTTTAGATATGTAAACCTAAGGAAAAACATGTTCAGTTTATTTCAAATTTATTCGAATAGCACTTTTCACAGTATCGCTCACAAATTTACTGTGGACCATTGGTTTAAATAATGCATAAATAACAATGCAGTAAGAATAGTGGTTAAAAACAGTGTTTATCTTTCAAGGCTCCTTCTGCCATTCATGCAGTCGTATGCTCGTTCTGGAGGATTCTCCATTACTGGAAAGATCAAGACGGCTCTCATTGAGAATGCCATCTATTATGGCACATACCTTTTCATCTTCGGCTCTCTTCTCATTTACGTGGCTGTGCATCCTCAGTGGCACCTCTCCTGGTCTGTAAACCAATCCAGAATATTTTTCCATTGTTGTCACAAAATTCTGTTCATACTGACTCTTCTTTTCTGTATCAGGTATGAGCTGCAAACCATCGGCATCACTGCGGCCAACACTTGGGGTCTGTTTCTTCTAGTGTTGCTGTTGGGCTACGGCCTGGTCGAGATTCCTCGATCGTACTGGGAGGCCTCCCGCCAGGGAACAGAACCCCACCCCCCCCAAAGCGGTAAACCTAGGGGAAACACTGGCCTCACATCCATTTTTGCATGCTTTTCATAGAATACATTTATGTGTTATTCGAGAACGTTTGGACGAATCAACTTGAATTCCATAACTTTTTGCCAGCATGGTCCGAAGATGATCTGAGCCAATTTTGGTGAAAATCAGACAAACCGCATAGGACGAGTCCAAAAAAGTATGTTTTTCGAATTATTAAATATAGCGAAAAAACTAATCCTTACGATTTTTGAATTTTCCATTGTTGGTGTCCATTCGACTCGGCATGAGCCAAGGAATCAGAGGAAAAAAAATTTTCCTTCTGTGCCTTATGGTTCAAAAGTTATTAGCATAAATGAGTGAAAGTTTGAACAAGTGGTGGCGCTAGAGAGTTTGAGATAGACTCCAAACTTGCTATGGTTAATGTTGGGACTGTCTTCTATCAGTGTGCCAAATTTCACAACTTTCCCACAAGTGGTTCTATGGGCTGCCATAGACTCGAGCGGAAGAAGAAATGGAAGAAGAAGAAGAAAAATGCATTTATATTGTGTTAAAGCCAAATTAAATCATTGAAATATTGTCAAAATATTATTTGTAATTTTAGATATGTAAACCTAAGGAAAAACATGTTCAGTTTATTTCAAATTTATTCGAATAGCACTTTTCACAGTATCGCTCACAAATTTACTGTGGACCATTGGTTTAAATAATGCATAAATAACAATGCAGTAAGAATAGTGGTTAAAAACAGTGTTTATCTTTCAAGGCTCCTTCTGCCATTCATGCAGTCGTATGCTCGTTCTGGAGGATTCTCCATTACTGGAAAGATCAAGACGGCCCTCATTGAGAATGCAATCTATTATGGCACATACCTTTTCATCTTCGGCTCTCTTCTCATTTACGTGGCTGTGCATCCTCAGTGGCACCTCTCCTGGTCTGTAAACCAATCCAGAATATTTTTCCATTGTTGTCACAAAATTCTGTTCATACTGACTCTTCTTTTCTGTATCAGGTATGAGCTGCAAACCATCGGCATCACTGCGGCCAACACTTGGGGTCTGTTTCTTCTAGTGTTGCTGTTGGGCTACGGCCTGGTCGAGATTCCTCGATCGTACTGGGAGGCCTCCCGCCAGGGACACCTCCTCATCAAGACTTACTTCAAAGCAGCCAAGCTCATGACGGAGAAGGCAGATTCAGAGGAGAACCTAGAAGATGTCATGGAGGTGAAAGCCATGTGTGTTTATATACTGTAAACAAACATCTGTTCACGCTATATATAAGGTAATGTCAGATCTGAGTCCGTTCAGCCAACGTTGTGTCTTAGATGTTTGTATTTTTATTATAGGAAGTGAGAAAAATCAATGAATCGATCAAATATAATCATCCATTGAGGAAGAACGTGGACACCATTCTTCGAAAGGTGAGACGACAACATGATAGCAAGCTTCAGGTTAATTTTTATGTATTTATGTGATTTGAAGTAATCATGCCACTCTTTTTAATAAAAATCTGCTAATTGTTTTTAGTGTCCAGTTGAATATCAGGAGAAAATGGGCAGGAACATGGATGACTTTGAGGATTTTGATGATAAACAAACATATCCTACTGAAAGAAGCCTTTCCAAACTACACAAGCAGGTAATGCTCAAGTGTTTCTCTGTGTTTTCAGAATTTTGCTCTGAAATAATACTAACAGCAAGTTTCTCAGGTGATTTATGCCGTGCAGCGACACAATCGCACCCGCGTTCAGTGGCAGATATTGCTGGAACAGGCTTTCCATCTTGAGGACGTTGCTAATAACGAAACCAGCACCTCTCGGCAGTTCGTTCACAGCTTTGCCCCTCCAGAACCTGTAGGCTGGTTCAGACGCTACATTTATACTCCCTCAGTAGGTAGGTGCTCTTAATAGATGTGGATATGATGTATTTGAAACAAATGTCAGTGTTGACCCTGCCTTTATTTCTTTTGTTTTCTTCATCAGAGTGGTACTGGGAGTGTTTGCTGAAGCAGTGGTTTTACCGTATACTGTCTGTGGTTCTGTCACTCTTTTCGGTGGCTGTGGTTTGGTCCGAGTGCACTTTCTTCAGCACTCGTCCCGTTCTGTCACTCTTTGCTGTGTTTATCCAGCTTGCTGAGAGGGATTACAACTACCTGTACATTGAGGTGAGTCTGCCTGAGCTTAGGGTTCTAATCTAGGAAAATCTCTGATTAAAATATACATGTATGTTCTTTTTGGTTCCAGGTCTTTATCGAATCAAATAAGATCCTCAATTACTGTATATATATATATATATATATTAGTGCTTGGCAATGATTAAAACTTTTAATCGCATTACGCACAAAATTAAATAATGAATTCAAAAGCTGTGTATTGTGCATTTTTTTCATTTAAAGGTCTCATATTGTCAAAACTTTTTTCATGATAACTGAGGTCTAGGTGCTATGTAACTACCATATAAGTTTCAAAACAGTCAATCCACAGTCAAATGCACACAGCCTGCATAAAGTAGCTGTGATTTTTCACGAACCGTTGTGACTTCCGTAAAAAGGTGACGTCAGAACTACACAGTCACCGCCTTCAGTCAGCACCCCGAGCACTGCCCACAGTCCCACTCTCCTTTTGCCAAATTCCCAGACAACATCGCGTCCATACCATTGCTGAGCAACAACACGGAAACATGTCGAGAAAACGCTGTTCAGTCTGAATGTCAGGAAACTACATTGTTGCACAGTAGGGCTGTGACGGTCGCCGTGACAACCGCGTCAATCGTCTATTGCCACTGGCGGTAGTGCACGTGACGTCACACTCTATAACAAGCATAATACAAAGTTTTGTATACAAGTGTAATAATAGTAACAGTTGCAAATAGTTTTATTTAGACTGCAAGTCTATTCTAATTCACAAATTACCTCAAACGCCATACACAGCGTTTGATCCTTTAGATTGGCAGGTTTGAGTGTAGGAAAATACAGTACAGAATACAGAAACCAAATACTACATCAACAATCTGGAATAATTTCCATTCATGTCACCTATCCGCATTTGTACAAGTGTCTTCAAGTTCACATGATCGCATATGCTTGGCTGGTCAGGTTTGTATTTACTGCATTCGGTGTTTTGAAAAAAAAAAACGGACAACATTCCCTCAGCAGTGACCATCATTACCGGTGAAAAAAAACAGGGAAGTCATGTCATTTGTCATCACTGCCGCTCTAGGATTTTTATATATTAAACTAACCCATGTCCTAAAAATATGACCAAACCCAAAATTTGACAGGACTGTGGTCAAAAAGCCCCACTCCACCCTGTCGAAAGCCTTTTCGGCATCTAAGGATATAGCTGCAATCGGGGTGTTCTCTGAAGCGTTTAGCCACATCAAATGAATTAGCCTTCTCACATTATCGGCTGATGATCTTCCCTTGATGAAGCCCACTTGGTCCTTGTGAATTATTCCTGGTAGAACCTTCTCCAACCGTGAAGCCAGAATTTTTGCCAACACCTTACAGTCCACATTAATAAGGACAAAATATGGCAGGATCAGTTAAATCCCTATCCTTTTTAGGTATCAGTGTTATCAGTGCTTCCATGAAAGTACTAGGTAACACTTCAGCTTCAAACGCCTCTGAATAATCTTGTGTTAAAATTGGAGCCAATATGTCAACATTCTTTTTGTAGTATTCTGATGGAAGCCCATCTGCCCCCGGAGATTTGCCAGACTTCATAGAGATTATTGCAGCTTTGACCTCTTCTTGTGTAATGGGAACGTCTATAGACTGATTGCAACTTGCAAGACATCTAATTTAGGTAACTTAATATTAGAAAAAAATTGTTTCAGTTTTCCTTCATCTGAGCTACCTGAAGATGTATATAATTGTTTATAGAACTTCTGACAAAACTAATTTATTTCCTTTGTCAGTGATACCATAGTATTCCCTTTCTTAATGGCCGGAATAATGCTAGCAGCGTTTTGTTGCTTTAATTGTCTGGAAAGGAGCTTGCCCGCTTTTTCACCTCCTTCGTAAAACCTAGTCTAAATAATGCATATTCGGCTTTTTTATTGTATCTATCATGTAATTGAAATCTGTATTTACAAATATCCTAAATAAATTTCCCTCTAATATATGCCTTTGAGGCCTCCCATACAGATGCCAACTTAACAGTGCTTACAATATTCAATTTAAAAAAAGAGGTCAGATCATCAGCCAACAATGTGCCAAAACATTCATCTTGTAAAAACGCAGTATTTAAACGCCACCTTCCCTTTCTTTTAGCTTTTGTGTTTAGAGCTATATCCAATTCCACCGTTGCATGATAACAATATTGCTCCAATTTTACAATCTACAACTTGATCAATAGTAGAATTTGAAACTAAGAAAAAATCTATCCTAGAGTGAGATTTATAGCAATGAGAAAAAAAAGTATACTCTCCTTCTGTTGGATTGACCAAGCGCCATATATCAGTCAATCCTCTGTTAGCATATGAAGGGCAGCCCTATCCCTTGGTATAGAAGGTTCTTGATATTTGCTCTTATCCAGAACTCCATCCATTACCTAATTAAAGTCTCCTGCCAAAATTATTTGCCCCTCTTTGTCCCCAAGAATCTTGTCTTATTAATAGGGCTGCACGATTAATCGCATGCGATATTTAACGCGCATCTTGCCAGAAAGCCGGTTCTGTAATCAGCGGTAAATCTCCATCACCTGCGTGCTTTCACATTGAGCAGCATTAACTACACAGAGCCATTGTTCACTGATGAGCTGCGCAAAAAATCGCGCGAATATGAACGTGGTTTAGCGCAGCTCGTCAGTGAACAATTAATAAAATATTAATTTTATTAAATTAATAAAATCTGCCTTATTGGGGGCATATACATTACATAATATCACTTTAACTCCATTAATGAGTTTCTATACATATAATCCTTCCAGCATTGTCTTTAGCTTCTGTTAACATTAAAAAATGCCATTAAGCCTCTTATTTATTAGGATCATTACTCCATTTTGTTTGTTGTTTTGCTCGTAAATGATGAATAAAATACATGTCCCACCCAATCTCGTCTGAATTTTAGTGCTTCGTTATCTGTTACATGGCTTGCTTGCACAAAAGCAACATCTACTTGTTTATGTTTGTGATATGACAGGACCTTTTTTCTTTTAATTGGGCTTCCACATCCATTAATATTCCATGTTATAAACCTGATGTGACTACCCATTTATAAAACAAATGAATTGCACATAATCGTGCGTGAAATCAAATGCGTTAGGTGACTGCCCCCTACTGGGGAATGACAGATTAGTTGAACAAACAGCAGTTGAACATTTCAAACACAAAAACTACCTTCTGTAACATCCTATTGCTTAACAAAAAGTAACTAACCCCTACCCAAACTTAACAACAAAAAAATTAAAAACAAGAAACAACAGAAAATCAACGGTCATACCAAACAATATGGACCGTCTTCGCTCAAACACCCCGAGATTATGGTCTGTGGAGTGCCGAATCAGCTATCCAGTCCTGTCTTTGGCTGTAAAAACTGTTCTGAGACAGCACAGGTATTCGGCTCCTCCCACCCACTGCACCTGTCCCATTACCTCCCCTCTGGCAATCTTGCAAAAAAACATTTGGTCCCGTTTTTCTGGTGCCCCTCAATGTTCCTTAATGAACTGCTCTGCATCCGTACTTGATGTAAACACCCTATTCTTCCCTTGCCATGTGAAGCGGAGTGAGGCTGGGTATGCCAGTGTATATTTGACATTGACACTTCTCAGCATCCTCCGTAGCGCTGTGAATTCCCTCCATCTTCTGGCCAACTCTCTTGACATGTCGGGGAAGAAGGAAATCCTACATCCCTCCCATTCGATCATTCCTTTTTCTCTGGCCACTTGTAGTACTTTCTCCCTGGCTGGTGAACGCAGAAACCTAATCAAAACTATTCTAGGTGGTCAATCAGCATCGGGCCTAGGAGTGAGAGCGCAATGCGCCCTCTCAATCTCAAACTCTCCATCTGGATCAATTCCCAGTCCCTTCGATAGGATTTTATACACACTCTTTTATACACACACTTGATCATTCCACCTGCATCCAGCCCCTCTTTCAGACCGATCATCCTCACGTTGTTGCAGCAGCTCCTGTTTTCTAAATCCTCAAATCGATTCCACATAACTTCCAGGCGTTTATCGTGCCGTTCGCCGTCATCGACAAGCTTTGAGGTGACGTCTTCCATGTTGGAGATGCGGCCCTCCCGCTTCATCCAGCCTTTCTTGGATTGCATTCACCGAATTTTTGAGATCGGTAACAACCTCTTTGATTGATGACACATCTGTCGCCACCCCTTGTAAGGTAGAGTTCATCTTACTTATTTCGAAAAATAAGTTTTCCATCTTTGAATCTTGATCTTTCAGCAGGGGTGACGGCGACTCGTGTGGCGGCGAAGTCTGTCTCGTTGCCATGCGACTCGTCGAAATCCCCTTAAAATACTTAGATGTGGAGGTCGACATCTGCTATCTAACGAAATGTTGTCCGACTTGAACCGGCGCCAACGCCACGTCACTGTCACGTGTGGCATCAAAGTACCACTCTAACGTTTCGAGAGCAGCCGGCTGACTCAGCTGGCACAGCTTTTTCAGAGCGACTGCAGGAGCGCTAATGACGACACAGCTGTTTCACTTTTGGCCAAATTCACCACATGACAACAATGATGTGTGTTTCTGACATCTTCAATTCCAATACTTCTCACAAATCTGTGTTTTTAGAACAGTAAAATCTTTTTTACTGTAGTCACAATGTTATGTTGAGTCACGTTTATCAAAAAAAACACTGATAAAAGCATATATACCCCCACTTTATTATTTAAATTGTATATGTTTATGTTGAACTTTATTCTTGAACAGATGGCGCTGTATCAAGCAGTATATAAAAAGTGTTTCTGTTGCTTATGAAAACGTTTCTGAAACGTCTGTGTATTTGACAAATATTGCATGTTATTCACTTCATCTGTGATAGAGTATGCTTGTCAGCAAGACAGACTCCTTGTATGTGTAAGCATACTTGGCAATAAGGCTCATTCTGATTCTGATTAATTCATTTATTTTATTCACTTTGTGTCAAAAAGGTTACCGACTCCTGCAATACACCAAATCTAAGAGCTTACTGACACAGTATGATCTAGGTTTGCCTGTGGCATTATCTGAAACAACCTAACATTGTAATTTTGTCCTGTAGATGGCGTGCTTCATTACCATCTTTTTCCTCTGCACCTGCGTCTACTCCACTGTGTTTCGCATCCGAGTCTTCAACTACTACTACCTGGCCTCACATCACCAAACCGACGCTTACAGCCTGCAGTTCAGCGGCATGTATGTTTCACAGATAGCAGCATTCAGTGAATTAAACTGAACTGTATTGTTAGTGAACTCTACCCTTAGTTTTTTTTTCTCTGATAAACCAAAAAAGCCTATGTGTTGTTTAATAGGCTTTTTTGCCGCTTGACACCCCCGCTTTGTCTAAACTTCCTGGGACTTATTCATATGGATTCTGCCATATCCCACCAAGCAAAGGAGCAGACGGCATACACCTCTGTGAGTTTTTAGCATTATCTGAAATGTACAGAATTATTTTAATATGTGAGACTCTAATAGTACAGCTTATCAAATGTTTAGAGCATTATTTTGAAATCTATTCTAATTATTAATAAACATTAACGTTATGTTGTAGATCATGGGTTCTATGCGCGTCCTGTCCTTCATTGCCAACGGCTTCTACATCTATTACCCCATGCTGATCGTCATTCTCTGCATTGCTACATACTTCAGGTTTGTCTAATATTTTCTATAAATCATCAGATAGAAGAGTCTCATGATGGATATTATGTGTCAAATGTCATGTAGTTTCTGACTGATTTCTGTGCAGTCTTGGCACACGTTGCCTGAACCTCCTGGGTTTCCAGCAGTTCATGGGAGACAATGAACTGACCTCTGACCTCATAGATGAAGGCAGAGAACTCCTGCGCAGAGGTGACTTGTTTATATTTGTAGATTTACAATTGAAAATATAAATGTATATGTTTATATTCTTACATCTTATATTATATATAAGTATATTTAATATATAAACATATTTTCTTAAATATATACATGCATGCATTAGTATTTATATATATATATACATCATTAATATACACCGTATACACACATTATGTATACAAAAACTTATTTTGAATGCGATTAACCGTTTGACAGCACTAAATATATATATATACTATTACATTAAATACATTAACTAGAATATAAGAGTATCATATAACTAAATGTTATTCTTTATGTTTTGTAAAGAAATTTAATCACAGGCCCAATTTATACTTATCTAAAGGACTCATTTCAAAAACTATTGTAAGACCATGAAAAAAATTCACGCCAAGCTTATCTGTTTGACCGGTAGTACAAAAATAAGGTGAAGCTGTCTCCTGTGGTTGCTATGGTTAGATGTGTTGCAGAAATAAATATTGATTCAGACAGAAATCACTTTTGCTCATTGCTACAGCTCTACTTTCTGCAGTGGTGAAAACCTCAATACGTCAATAAGTGGGGTAGTTACCGCTGACACTGACATTAACATTTAACACGGTCCCATCCGGTATTAAACGAGGACGTGTATCTGACTTATTTTGTTGTTGTTTTTTGCATAGAAAGAAGAAAATGCCAAAGAATAGAAGATGGGGAGAACAGACGACGAGTGAGTTATAAATAGTACAGAGTAATATATACATATAATTACTCTAATGATACATATTACAGTTATATGATTATACGTATATGACAGGAATGGAGAGAGCGTTATGCACAAAGAGATGAGATTGCTGCCAGAAACCAGATGTCCATGTCTGAGATGAAGGAAACCAACTATGGCGAAACCCTAAATTCAAACACAAACCGGCGTATGTTTAATGCCCAATAAGACATGTGTCCTGTAGTTTTCCTATAGAGTATTTGTTATTAAGTGAATTTTGCAAAGAAGCAGTCATATTTATCCCTTCATTTTTATACACAGAGGCCAAGTACACCCATAGCAGCAGCCAGACAGGACGGGATAGCATTGAGTTGTTGCAGGACGCGGAGCCGTTGGACTTTAATGCTGCAACACTCAATGATGACCCTTTGCAATCTGAACCTGGCAGGTTAGTTTGAGTTTTTGGAGTGCTGCAGCAATTAAATATTTTTGTAGGCCATCAGGAATGTTAGCATCACCCTGGTTCCCTGGACAAATTGGCTTTTGGATTATTGCAGAAAATAAGTTCTGTGACCATCAAAAGCTTACACGTTTTGTTCATTATGATAATATAATTATGTATTATTGATTTTATGTCATATGTGACCCATGACCACAAAACCAGTCATAAGTAGCACAGGTATATTTGTAGCAATAGCCAACAATACATTGTATGGGTCAAAATTATCGATTTTTCTTTTATGCCAAAAATCATTAGGATATTAAGTAAAGATCATGTTCCGTGAAGATATTTTGCAAATTTCCTACCGTAAATATATCAAAACTTAACTTTTTGATTAGTAATATGCATTGCTAAGAACTTCATTTGGACAACTTTAAAAGACGCTTTTCTCAATATTTCGATTTTTTGCATCCTCAGATTCCAGATTTTCAAATAGTTGCATCTCGGCCAAATATTGTCCTATCCTAACGAACCATACATCAATGGAAAGCTTATTTATTCAGCTGTAATAAATAATTTCAGATGATGTATAAATCTCAATTTCAAAAAATTGACCATTATGACTGGTTTTGTGGTCCAGTGTCACATATAATACAATTTTAAAATTTCTTGAACTTGTGTTAACCACAGAATTATTACAGACATTTAACAAAAAACCCAGTGCTTCAGGATGATGAAACCAGAAGTGCTAAATTGCTAACTCGTTTCAAAAATCATCTTCCCCGCATCACTCTATTGTCATGAGTTTTTTTTTTTTCCTGCACTGCATGCACTCACTCTTTTGTTTCCTTCCCCCACAGACATGCCGGTGGAAGGTACCTCTCAATGTCTTCTTCTCGAAGCCGAATCTTTGATGATGTTTGATGTTTCTCACTTTGATCAGAAACACTGTCATGAGAAAATAAGCTGAATTTTACCTCTAAAACACTAATCTCTACAGGTTTGGTCTGTCCCTATCATTTTAAACATCTTCGACTTCCTGTATCCTGTAATGCAGTGTATTCATCTGCATGCGTCCTGATAAACACACAGACACATAGAAAAATGGACTTGTTTTGAAGTGCCAGGCATTCAGACTGCTACTTGAGACAAATGGGAAATGTCTCTTTAGCTCACAGTTCCTTCTAGAAATAAGTCAAAGTTAATGCTGAACAGTCAAGCACTGAGTCATAAAAGTACTACAGATGGGGAAGATTTAGATCAACACACTGTTTCTCATCATTTACTACTGATAGGTATCAGGTAATGTACCTGAGTGTTTACATCAGTCAAGTAAATATGAACTGACGTCAATGTGGCCAATTTGTGTTAGTTGTTATTGTGAATAGAGATTTTATGGGTCTAGATATAGGTTGTCTTACAGAATACTGTGCAGGTTTTTTTTTTTTTTTTTTTTAACATGTAATTGTTTCAATATAGAGCCATTTCAATATATGTATAACACACATATTTAACCTTTCAAAGTGTAATGGCTTTCCAGTAGTTCATGTGGGAGGCAAAAAAAAAGTGTATACATACATACATGTATGTGTATA